AAGTCTAAATCTAAGTGTGAGTCTGAGTCCGAGTCCGAGTCCGAGTCCGAGTCCGAGTCCGAGTCCGAGTGTGAGTGTGAGTCTGAGTTACCAGCGCGGCTCCGCGGCTCCTCAGAAACTCCTCCATCTCATTTATTATCCTTTAGCTTTAGCCTTTAGCTTTAGCCTTTAGCTGCTCCGGTGTCCCGCTCTGCTCCGGACAGCCGCCCACAGCGCTCCTCTTCTGGGTCGTGCAGCGGCTCACGGTGCCTCCTCTGCCCGCGCTCCGGTGCTCTTGTGTCGGACTGAGATGAGCGCCTGTCCCGGTCCTCCTCCTCCTCCGCGGCGGAGCCTGTTCTCTGCTGCCGGGGCCGGAGCTCTGGAGCCGGGCTGAGCTGACGGGAGCTCCCCACGTGAGCTCCGCACATGACCGGGGCCGGGGCAAAGGTCAGGCCGCCTCTGGGGCTCCGTGTGCGGCTAAAGCTCTGCACAGCGCCGCCCCCAGTCAGAGCCGAAGCACCGCACCTCCGAGGGCCCACAGAACCAGAACCAAGACCAGAACCAGGACCAGGACCAAGACCAGAACCAGGACCAGAACCAGGACCAGAACCAAGACCAGAACCAGGACTAGAACCAAGACCAAGACCAGAACCAGAACCAGAACCAGAACCAAGACCAGAACCAAGACCAGAACCAGGACCAGAACCAGGACCAGAACCAAGACCAGAACCAGAACCAGACCAGAACCAGAACCAAGACCAGAACCAGGACCAGACCAAGACCAGAACCAGAACCAAGACCAGAACCAGAACCATGACCAGAACCAGGACCAGAACCAGGACCAGAACCAAGACCAGAACCAGGACCAGAACCAGGACCAGAACCAAGACCAGGACCAGAACCAGGACCAGAACCAGAACCAGGACCAGAACCAAGACCAGAACCAGGACCAGAACAAGTCTGAGAACCAAGTCAAAGTGTTGAGCTCCACAAAAGACCAGTCTGAACGTCAGGTGACAGGTGAGGGGCAGGTGTGGGGCAGGTGAGGGGCAGGTGAGGGGCAGGTGTGGGGCAGGTGAGGGCAGGTGGGCAGGTGAGGGCAGGTGAGGGCAGGTGAGGGGCAGGTGAGGGCAGGTGGGGCAGGTGAGGGGCAGGTGAAGGGGCAGGTGAGGGGCAGGTGGGGCAGGTGAGGGGCAGGTGTGGGGCAGGTGGGGCAGGTGGGGCAGGTGGGCAGGTGAGGGCAGGTGAGGGGCAGGTGAGGGGCAGGTGAGGGCAGGTGAGGGGCAGGTGTGGGCAGGTGTGGGCAGGTGCAGGAGGCAGGTGAGGGGAGGGGCAGGTGAGGCAGGTGAGGGCAGGTGAGGGCAGGTGAGGGGCAGGTGTGGGGCAGGTGCAGGTGGGCAGGTGAGGGCAGTGTGAGGGCAGGTGGGACAGGTGAGGGGCAGGTGAGGGCAGGTGAGGTGAGGCAGGTGAGGGGCAGGTGAGGGACAGGTGAGGGGCAGGGGCAGGTGAGGGGCAGGTGAGGGACAGGTGAGGGCAGGTGGGCAGGTGAGGGCAGGTGAGGGGCAGGTGGGGGCAGGTGTGGGGACAGGTGAGGGGCAGGTGAGGGGCAGGTGAGGGGCAGGTGAGGGGCAGGTGAGGGCAGGTGAGGACAGGTGAGGGGCAGGTGAGGGGCAGGTGAGGCAGGTGAGGGGCAGGTGAGGGGCAGGTGAGGGGCAGGTGGGCAGGTGAGGGCAGGGTGGGCAGGTGGGGCAGGTGAGGGGCAGGTGAGGGCAGGTGTGGGGCAGGTGAGGGGGGCAGGGCAGGTGTGGGCAGGTGAGGGGCAGGTGAGGGGCAGGTGAGGGCAGGTGAGGCAGGTGGGGCAGGTGAGGACAGGTGAGGGGCAGGTGAGGGACAGGTGAGGGGCAGGTGGGCAGGTGAGGCAGGTGAGGAGGTGTGGGGCAGGTGTGGGCAGGTGTGTGGGGCAGGTGAGGACAGGTGAGTTCAGTGTAAAACAACATGTCAGATGTTCAAGGATTGTTTTATTTGTAAATACATTAGTTTGATAAATGTTGACCATTCAACATGTTCGTGTGCGGGAATGGCCCGGATGCCCTCCCGCGGTCTCTGTACCGGCTCTTCTGCTCTGGAGTTTGGTGGGTGAACAAACGTCCAAAAAGGTTTTCAGTACCGTTAATTATCGTTAATTAAACTGTGACTCAGAAGGAGCGAGACACAAACAGTCGGTCTGAAACACGCCGAAGCACAAATGCACATTTAACAACGACTTGGACAAGAAATTCTCTGTTTTCCGTCCCGGTCGAGACGAGTGTGAGTCCGTGTGCACAGGTTGAGGTGAGAGGACAGTGTCCCTCGTTTATCGTGGGCTGCGACAGGTGAAATCCACGAAGTATCAACTTTATATTTTACAATTATTCTATCTGTGTTAAGGCTGTAAAACCTCAGCACAAACTTTATACACTTTTCTCAGACAGGATCGACAGGTGCAACACTTTTTACTCCCTTCTTAAAAGGATGTAAAAAGGTGTCCGGGTTTTCACAAACGGAAATATGGTCACTCAAAATCTGCTCGTTCACATGAGGCCGTTTACAACAACGTCCCGAAGTCCTGAAGTCCTGAAGTCCTGAAGTTCTAAACTCTGTCTTCTGACTCTGTCCTGAAGCTGCCGTGTCCATTTATTAGGGTTATTCACATTCTCAGCGGACGCACGCGCAGCGGACGCACGCGCAGATCATATCTGTGCACAAAGATGTAACATCAGAAACATTTATGTCAATAAACATGATCCAAAAACACGAGACTTTCACCTGTGAAGAACCAAACACAGACACGAGACACGAGCACGCGGCCAGCGGGACCACGGGGGACACCTGTGTCTCAGGTGAGTCCGTGGGGACATCTGTGTCTCAGGTGAGTCCGTGGGGACACCTGTGTCTCAGGTGAGTCTGTGGGACCAGGTAAAACTGTAAAACATTGACGTGTGCACGCCGTGCACGAGTTTACATCGGTGCGCGTGCACACGAGAGGGGCGCGCGAGTCGTGAGTTGGAGACGCGGAGTTCACTGTGCACTGCATTTCCCAGAACCCCCCACGGGCCCCGCGGCTGTGGGCGGGGCTTTACCTGCCCACACCTGCAGGGTCTCCAGGAAGCGCGAGCTGCAGCGTCTGGGACGAACCCGGGACTAAACCAGGACTAAACCAGGACTAAACCAGGACTGAACCAGGACTAAACCAGGACTAAACCAGGACTGAACCAGGACTAAACCAGGACTGAACCAGGACTAAACCAGGACTAAACTAGGACTAAACCAGGACTAAACCAGGACTAAACCAGGACTACACTGGGACAAGACCGGGACTATCCCGGGACTATACCAGGACTCCAGCGGGACAGACCCAGACCTGGACTTTCCTCTGGTCCCAATCCGCGCTCTGGCAGCACACACGCGCACGGGCACGCGCATGGACGCGCTCTGAGTTTGAAGCTCAAGAAACAGGAAGTGCTCCAAGATGGTGAGTTATGTCACTGAGCAGATTTAGTCCTGGTTTAATCCTGGTTTAGTTCTGGGTTAGACCTGATTTAGTCCTGATTTAGACCTGGTTTAGTCCAGGTTTAATCCTGGTTTAGTCCTGGTTTAATCCTGGTTTAGTCCTGGTTTAGTCCTGGTTTAATCCTGGTTTAATCCTGGTTTAGTCCAGGTTTAGTCCAGGTTTAATCCTGGTTTAGTCCTGGTTTAGTCCAGGTTTGGTCCTGGTTTAGTCCTGGTTTAATCCTGGTTTAATCCTGGTTTAGTCCTGGTTTAGTCCTGGTTTAATCCTGGTTTAATCCTGGTTTAGTCCTGGTTTAGTCCTGGTCTTGTTTGGGGCAGAGTTGCAGGTTGTGATTCCTGGAGGATTCTCTTCATTCCAGAGTCAAGAACAAACAAGAACAAACAGGTCCAGACTCCAGACTCCAGACTCCAGAGGGGGGGGGGGGGGGGGACTAGAGCCCGACCGATATATCGGTTGGCTGATATTATCGGCCGATATGGGCACCTGGAGACATATTGACCATCGGCCTAAATCTTACAAATATCCCCCCTGGGCAGGTTCTACGTCCTTTTATTTTATTCATTTTATTTATTTAACCAGGAAAAAGTCTCTTTGAGATAAAAAAAAAAATCTCTTTTTCGAGAGGAAAAACTACAGTTTCAAACAAACAAACAAACAAATAAAACAAACAAATAAAACAAACAAACAAACAAAACAAAACAAATAAATAAACAAACAAACAAACAAACAAACAAACAAAACAAAAACAAATAAAACAAACAAAAAAACAAACAAATAAAAACAAATAAAACAAACAAATAAAACAAACAAATAAAACAAACAAATAAAACAAACACATTCAGTCTTATAATGTACGAGTCTTTACATTCTGTTGATTTAATCCAGTTACAGACAAATGTCCTGCTCCTGTCAGGACATCATCTCATCAGTGTCTTGCTCGTGGGTTGAGGGTTTGATCAGTGTCTTGCTCGTGGGTTGAGGGTTTGATCAGTGTCTTGCTCGTGGGTTGAGGGTTTGATCAGTGTCTTGCTCGTGGGTTGTGGGTTTGATCAGTGTCTTGCTCGTGGGTTGAGGGTTTGATCAGTGTCTTGCTCGTGGGTTGAGGGTTTGATCAGTGTCTTGCTCGTGGGTTGAGGGTTTGATCAGTGTCTTGCTCGTGGGTTTGAGGGTTTGATCAGTGTCTTCTGGGTGGGGTTTGATCAGTGTCTTGCTCGTGGGGTTTGATCAGTGTCTTGCTCGTGGGTGGGTTTGATCAGTGTCTTGCTCGGGTTGAGGGTTTGATCAGTGTCTTGCTCGTGGGTTGAGGGTTTGATCAGTGTCTTGCTCGTGGGTTGAGGGTTTGATCAGTGTCTTGCTCGTGGGTTGAGGGTTTGATCAGTGTCTTGCTCTTGGGTTGAGGGTTTGATCAGTGTCTTGCTCGTGGGTTGCAGGGCAGTAAGTATCACTGGCAGACGGCGAACGCGAACGTGAAGGTGAGCGGCGTGGACGACATGGTTCTACTGTCCAAGATCAACGAAGACGCCATCACCGAAAACCTGCGCAAGAGATACAACGATGACTACATCTTTGTATCCTCCACCTGGACCCTGGTTTAGTCCTGGTTTAGTCCCTGGTTTAGTCCTGGTTTAGTCCTGTCTAGTCTGGTTTAGTTCTGGTTTAGTTCTGGTTTAGTTCTGGTCTAGTTCTGGTCTAGTCCTGGTTTAGTCCTGGTCTAGTCCTGGTCTAGTCCTGGTCTAGTCCTGGTCTAGTCCTGGTTTAGTCCTGGTCTAGTTCTGGTTTAGTCCTGGTCTAGTCCTGGTCTAGTCCTGGTCTAGTCCTGGTCTAGTCCTGGTCTAGTCCTGGTTTAGTCCTGGTCTAGTCCTGTGTCTAGTCCCCCTGGTTTAGTTCTGGTTTAGTAGTCTGGTCTAGTCTAGTCCTGGTCCTAGTCCTGGTTTAGTCCTGGTTTAGTCCTGGTCTAGTCCTGGTCTAGTCCTGGTTTAGTCCTTGACCCGTTCAGACCTACATCGGTCCGGTTCTGATCTCGGTGAACCCGTTCAAGCAGCTGCCGTATTTCACGGACAGAGAAGTGGAGCTGTACCAGGGAGCGGTGAGTCCAAGACTGGTTATGATCCTGCTCTAGACCTGCTCAGACCCCGTAGACTCTGTAGTCTGGTTATAATCCTGCTCTGGTCCAGGCCCAGTACGAGAACCCTCCTCACATCTTCGCTCTGGCCGACCTCATGTTCAGGAACATGATGATCGACTCCGAGAACCAGTGTGTGATCATCAGGTGAGTCCAGACCCGGTCCCGGACCAGGACCAGGACCCAGACCAGGACCAGGACACAGACCCAGACTCAGTTCAGACCTGATTTATTCCTGGTTTAGACCTGGTTTAGACCTGGTCTGGGTCCTGGTTTAGACCTGGTTTGGTCCTGGTTTAGTCCTGATCCTGGTCTTGTTTTGCAGTGGGGAAAGTGGCGCGGGGAAAACGGTGGCGGCGAAGTTCATCATGAGTTACATTTCCAAAGTTTCCGGAGGAGGAGCCAAGGTCCAGGTCAGAGCTGCTCGCCTCTTCACGGATCTGACCCGTAACACGCTCACGTTTACTGCAGTGTAACAGCGTCTCCACGGAAACCAGCCGGTCCCAGGAAAGTCCCACAGTGCAGCTTTAAAACTCCACCTCCTGAGCACAGAAACTGAAACCTCTTCAAGTCCAGGTCCCGGTCTAGACCCTGTAGTCCGGTTATGATCTCGGTCTAGACCCTGTATTCCGGTTATGATCTCGGTCTAGACCCTGTAGTCCGGTTATGATCTCGGTCTAGACCCTGTAGTCCGGTTATGATCTCGGTCTAGACCCTGTAGTCCGGTTATGATCTCGGTCTAGACCCTGTAGTCCGGTTATGATCTCGGTCTAGACCCTGTAGTCCGGTTATGATCTCGGTCTAGACCCTGTAGTCCGGTTATGATCCGGTCTAGACCCTGTAGTCCGGTTATGATCCCGGTCTAGACCCTGTAGTTGGTTCAGATCCTGGTTCAGATCGTCTAAACCCGGTCTAAACCTGGTCTAAACCCGGTCTAAACCCGGTCTAAACCCGGTCTAAACCCAGTCTAAACCTGGTCTTGTGTCCTCAGAGGGTCAAGGACATCATCCTGCAGTCGAATCCTCTGCTCGAGGCTTTTGGAAACGCCAAGACCGTCCGGAACAACAACTCCAGCCGCTTCGTCAGTGCCTCCTCCTCATCCTCCTCATCCTCCTCATCCTCCTCATCCTCCTCCTCCTCATCCTCCTCATCCTCCTCATCCTCCTCCTCATCCTCCTCATCCTCCTCATCCTCCTCCTCTCTCCTCATCCTCCTCATCCTCCTCTCCTCATCCTCCTCATCCTCCTCTTCATCCTCTTCATCACTTTACTTCCCTTAATTTTCTCATCTCCTCACTTGTCCTCCTCACTTGTCCTCACTTGTGTTTCCTCACTTGTGTCCTTGTCTCCTCACTTGTCTCCTCCTCTTGTGTCCTCACTTTGTGTCCTCCTTGTCTCTCCTCACTTGTCTCCTTGTCTCCTTTCCTCACTTGTCCTCACTTGTCTCCTTGTCCTTGTCCTCACTTGTCCTCCTTGTCTCCTTGTTTCCTCACTTGTCTCCTGTGTCCTCACTTGTCTCCTTGTTTCCTCACTTGTCTCCTGTGTCCTCACTTGTCCTTGTCTCCTTGTCTTCCTCACTTGTCTCCTGTGTCCTCACTTGTTCCTCCTTGTGTTCCTCACTTGTCTCCTGTGTCCTCACTTGTCCTTCCTTGTGTTCCTCACTTGTGTCTCCTGTGTCCTCACTTGTCTCCTTGTTTCCTCACTTGTCTCCTGTGTCCTCACTTGTCTCCTTGTTTCCTCACTTGTCTCCTTGTGTCCTGTTTCCTCACTCCTGTGTCTCCTTGTTCCTCACTTGTCTCCTGTGTCCTCACTTGTCTCCTTGTTTCCTCACTTGTCTCCTGTGTCCTCACTTGTGTCCTTGTTTCCTCACTTGTCTCCTGTGTCCTCACTTGTCTCCTTGTTTCCTCACTTGTCTCCTGTGTCCTCACTTGTGTCCTTGTCCTCACTTGTCTCCTTGTCCTCACTTGTCTCCTGTGTCCTCACTTGTCTCCTTGTCTCACTTGTTTTCCTCACTTGTCTCCTGTCTCCTCCAGGGGAAGTATGTGGAGATCCAGTTCTGTGGGGGCGGGGCTCCAGACGGAGGAAAAATCTCAAACTTTCTTCTGGAGAAAAGTCGAGTCGTTTCACAAAACGCAGGAGAAAGAAACTTCCACATTTACTACTACTACCAGGTACTACAAGTACTACAAGTACTACAGGTACTACAGTACTACAAGTACTACAGTACTACAGTACTACTACAGGTACTACCAGTACTACAAGTACTACAGTACTACAAGTACAGTACTACCAGTACTACAAGTACTACAAGTACTACCAGTACTACAAGTACTACCAGTACATACCATAAATACTACAAATACTATGAGTACTACAGGTACTACCAGGTACAAGTACTACAGTACTACGAGTACCACAGTACCAGTACTACCAGTACCATATACTACAAATACTATGAGTACTACATGTACTGCAGGTACTGTGAGTACTATGAGTTCTACAAGTACTGGTAGTAATACCATCAAGTACTACTACTTTTGCTACTTTTAAACATTAACTAATAAAGAAAATCACCCGACTAAACCAGGACCGGACCAGGACTAGGACTGGGACTGACCGGTCTGACCCGGTCTGAACCCGGTCTGAACCGGTCTGAACCCGGTCTGAACCCGGTCTGAACCCGGTCTGAACCTGGTCTGAACCCGGTCTGAACCTGGTCTTGCTCATCAGATCCTGGAGGGGGCGAGCTCGGAGCAGAGGGAGAATCTGGGCGTGACCACACCGGATTATTATTTCTACCTCAACCAATCAGGGACCTACACCGTGGACGACGTCAGCGACAAGAAGGACTTCGCCGAAACCATGGTAACGCACGCAACCTCTGACCCTGTGACCCTGTGACCCTCTGACCATGTGACCCTGTGACCCTCTGCCCATGTGACCATGTGACCCTCTGACCATGTGACCCTGTAGTCTGGTTGTGATCCTGGTTGAACTTCTCAGGAGGCCATGGCGGTGGTGGGTTTGTCTGTGGAGGAGCAGGACTCGGTTCTTCAGATCGTGGCTTCGATTCTTCACCTCGGAAACATCAGCTTCAGAGAAGAAAACAACTACGCCTCCATCGAGAGTCAGGACTGACTGAACCAGGACTGAACCAGGACTAAACCAGGACTGAACCAGGACTAAACCAGGGAACCAGGACTAAACCAGGACTGAACCAGGACTAAACCAGGACTAAACCAGGACTGAACCAGGACTGAAACCAGGACTGAACCAGGACTAAACCAGGACTAGGACTGAACCAGGAACCAGGACTGAACCAGGACTAAACCA